AAGGCATCCCCGTCTGACTTGAGTGACTGGTGTGGAGTGGTCAACTCTTATGTCCACATATTTCCTGGAAACTGGCCCTAGGGGTCCCTGGTCCATTAACAGCATTTTTTCCAGAAATCATGTGTCACTCACTACCTACAATATGGTTCCACACTGGACACTCATCCAGAAGGACTCCTGAATGTCCTTATCCGTGAGACCTTTTTACCAGAGTGGTCACTGCTGAGGGATGGAAGAGCAGGGCTTGGTGAGGCTGAAGGCTTATGGCCCCTTTGAACCTTTTCTTACTCTGGGATGTGGCCTGTCTTTAGAGAAAGCTGACTCACAAGAACAGGTCTTTTCCACACATGAGTGCCAGTGAGGCCCAGAATTGTGGTGGCACTCCCATTTTGCGGAGTCACTCACACAGGTAGGTCAAGGGTCACAGTCCCAGTTGTGTGTATATGTGTGGGGGATCTCCTTTGACTCACATCAGTCTTAAGAAGGGACATGTGACTCCCTGACCCTCTGAGATCAATTCTAAAGGACTTGTCTACGTTTGTGGCCTTATGATCTGGCTTTCCTCCAGACCCCATCTTCTGTGTTCCTGCTCCCCACACTCCTATTCAGTCCTGTCATCAGACCTTTGCTGAGTGTGTTTCTTATAATCAAACTACTTCCTTTTATATCTGTGCTCGAATCATGAGCCAAAGCTCAGGTCTCCCTGGCCCAGAGAGCAGCATTCCCTGATTATCCTAATTCCTGCCTCTTCTCTCCAGCTGAGAACCAGTTTTGCCCATCAGGGACCCCATTACGATCTATGAGCAGTCATGTTAATCACCTGCTTATTCAGCACATAATTATTGCATCTCCACTTTGTCTGGACCTTGTGTTGGGTGTAGCAGTACAGTCACATCTGTCCCCTGGAGCTGATATTCTCATGGATAGAAGACAACAATCAAACAAGTCCAGTGTGTCAGATGGGGATAAGCCACTGGAGGAGAATACAGCAGAGAAGGGGAAGGGGCGGGTTGACATTTTAAGTAGGGTGGTCAGGGAAGGCAATTCCAAGAAGGTGATGTTTGATGGACTGAAACAAGTGAGCACTGGGGCTGTGGCTAGTGCATTCTTGTTCAAGAAGGCCAATGTGGTCAGAGTGAGTTGGAGTGGCAGGAGTGGAGGCAGAGAGTTGTTGGCTAGGTTGTTGGAGTACAGGAAGTATAAAGTCACACACGTCACATAAAATGACAGCTCAGCATCAAGTTGTGACATGAATTAATAGTTCATGGAATCTCCCCTCTCTCACTGGGGCAGGTATATTATTATGATTATTTTATAATCAAGAACACAGAGGCTGGGAGAGGCGGTGTGACTATAGCTAGTTCACCCAGCTCAGAGGTGTCAGGGCCTGGATTCATTGCCCAACTCTGGGACAAGCCCAGAGATGCCCTGTTCAGAGTTTCAAACCCAGACTATCAGTAGGTGTAGAGCAGACTGATGGCATTGATGGGGCTTTCCTATGTGGCTGGCATAGGGTGGAGCGTGGTATGATTTCTGCCCCTCCCACTTCTTCCTCTCCCATCCTGGGTGAATTTGGCCTTTGGGCAGAGAGTTGAGAAGTTGTGACAAGATGAGAGGTTCTTGCAGGGGAATCTGACTGTAGGCTTTGTACCAAGACAGAGCCCCCCTTGTAACAGGGAACTTGAAAAAGAAGCTCCTCTTCCATCCTCCCTCCATGTGGGGTCCCCCAACATTGATACTTCTTCAGTATTGAGCTCTGTCACATATGGAGGATCCAGTCAGAATTGCAGTCCAATTAGGAGGAGGCGGGGTTAGGGGCAGGAAGCCTGAGGTGGGATTTCCCCAGATCTTCTCCCCAGTGGGATTTGGAAAGATCTGGAGAGTGAGTAAAATCTAGTGTTTCTCACTTTGAGCAAACCTGAAATTTGAAAACCATTTTCTTGGTTTTTTGGTGGTAGTGGGTATTGAACTCAGGGCCTCAGGTTTGCGAAGCAAGCACTCTTCCACTTGAGCCATGCCCCATCCTGAAAACCATTTTATAAGAGAGTTTCCCAATTTTCTATTTTATAGGAGAGTTTCTTTAAATTCAACTTTCTAAATTGTAAGCTCCTGTAGACCAGGGGTGTTTGTGAAGGTCAGGCTGTGCCCTGGTCCAGAGTCACTCCATATTGTATAGAATAGTAGCTTTCAGGCTGCCTTGCCCTGAGTGACTCCATTTTATAAAACAGCAGCTTATTCCATTTTGCATGCAAATGCTGAGGCAGAATGACTCTACATCTTTGTGCAAGTAAACAACCACCATCTGTTCAGCACAAACCATGAGATGGACTGATAACTTCTTTATACAAATAAAAGATTGCCATCCACGAACTTATCAAATTAAACCAAGTACACATGGACACATAGGCATATCAAAAGCATATCAGAAAAACCAGCCCCATGAGCTTATCCAACACACTGGGCCAATGAATGATGCCACCCCCTCACCAGGATCATATAAAAAGGGGGGCACCTAACACTGGGGTAGCACAGCACAGACTGACCCATCATCTGATGGTCTGGTGACAAACTCCTAACTGTCTTCAGGGTTTCAGCTCAGTTGATCCCCCTGCTTGATGTAACACACTAGAATTGCTGAATTGCTGAATTTCAGACCCAGAAGCAGTTCTGAGCCTTGAACTAGCATTGCACCTTGAACTGACTCTGCATTTTTTTTGGGGTGGGTGGTACCGGGGTTTGAACTCAGGGTCTCACACTTGCTAGGTAGGTGCTCTACCACTTGAGCCACGCACCTAAGCCCTAGCTCTGCATTTTGACACCACTATCTCAACAGCTCTGTGACTGGCTATGTTAATATCTTGTCTAACCACCTGCCATAGCTCTCTTTTTATTGGTTATCAGCTCTCAGGTCTTGCCTTTGCAAGGTCTTTTTGAAATGCTTGAACTTTCTTAGCTTTCTGTAACCTCTCTATTAATTGTGAAATGTAATGTGTGATTTGAGATTTACTAGTCTGAGAGCTCATACTAGTAACTAAGACTGAAATAAAACAACCTGTTTACTAATTGGTTTATGGCTATCAAGCAAAACCAGCAGTATGTGACAAATTAATGACAACAAAATTGATGTAGCTTGTGAATTTACTGTTATTCAATAAATTCCCACATTGTGAAAGGACACAAGCATGTCCCTCTTTTTCTGACACAGCTCGTTCACAATGTTCCATAGCTAAAATTGACAAAAACAAGACCCAAAACTAAATATACTACCCAACAATAAAAGAACTCTTAAGTTTAATGAATAGATCTTTCTGTATTTTTTAACTTTGCTAATTTAAAAAAAATTGAATCGGTATATATTAATAATACAAGGGGATTTTGTTGTGGCAATTCCATACATGTATACAGTGTATCTTGATTTTTTTTTTTTTTTTTTTTTTGGTGAGACTGGGTTTGAACCCAGGGCTTCATGCTTGCAAAGCAGGTGCTCTACCGCTTGAACCACACCTCCAGTCTGCTCTGATGTGGTTTATTTATTGGGGGGTATCTCAGGAACTATTTGCCCAGGCTGGCCTCAAACCCACATCCTCCGGATCTCAGCTAGAATTACAGCTAGGTATGAGCCATTAGTGCCCAGCTGATTTTTTTTTTTTTCTTTTTTATTTCACCCCTAAGTGTTTGGCTGGCAGACAAGAGAACAACAGAATAATATGTGAATGTTGGTAGACTTTAAAACTGTCCTTTGAACAATGTTGACCAATTTCAGGGCATGTGAACGACAATTATTTGTTTTAAGGATTTCAAAATGTCTGAGTTAAATTAGCCTGAATATTTCTAATGTAAAAGAACCAATTATATGCTAAATAACAATTAAGATGTGATTAAATGTATACCCATTTTTTCTGTCTGGCCATTCAAGACATTTTAGGTCCAGATGAGAGACACGCACCTCCATATGCACCCTCCCTCCATGTTCCAGCTTCTAGATTAAGGAACCTAGCTCAAGTGCGCAGATCCAGGAACACGGTGTCAGGACTACTATGCAAGAAACCTCAGAGCCTGGCTAGATCCTAATCTGTGTTGGAGTCCAGACAAGTTGGCCTGCCCTGGAGAGGTGATAGAAAATTCTTGAAGCTTGCAAAACATCCGGTTCAACTGCAGGTGGGGAAGATTCCTGCAGGGAAGCGACTGGGTATTTCCAACGCAGAAAGTGAATAGGAACGGCCTCTGGTGGCCAGGCCCCTGGATTACATCATCAGTTAGTTACTTAGTTACTGATTGATTGAAACAGTCTGGCGGTCACAGCGTTATTTATTTATTGAACAGAGTCTAGCTGTGGATTACATCGTCAGTTACTTATTTATTGAAGCAGAGTCTGGCTGTCCTTTTACGTCAGCTATTAGAGTATTGGGATTACAGATATGCTCTACGACGCCCAGTTCTTGTTTTAGACATACAATTTGTAATAGTTTTTCAGGGCCGAGGGTCATGAGAAGGCCAGCCAGGCTGCATCACATTCCCTAATAGTACAAATGGAGAAACTGAGCAGTGTTTCCGCCCCCCCCCCCACCTGGGGTCACACAGCGAATGAGAAGTGAGAATGGAACCTAGGTCTCTTCACTCCACGTCGGTGATTCTGAGTGACTTTGGTTCTTTAGACACTTGTCTTAAGTGCGTCGGAGGGGTGAACCATTTATAGTGCCCGAGGGACTAATTGACTGGCTACCAACCGCTTCTGGCGCGGGTGCCTTAAAGCAAAGCTAACCCGCCTGTCATTTTTCCGGATCCCTGAGGCTGGAACTCCCGTGGTAAAGCCCAGTCCCGCCCCCGGTGCATCTCGGGAAATGTAGTTCCACCTGACTCCGACGCTAGGGTGTGGACGGCGCGGAACTCCACTTCCCAGAAGGCCGCGCTCCTCGTCACGTGGGCAGGGCGCCCGGCCGGTAAAGCGAAGCCCTTATTTGCACTTTTTTAAGTTTTTAGGAGGAATGAGTGACGGAAGACAGAAGTTGGCAGCGCAGTCTGTAGATTGCTTGGCTTGGAAGTGCTGGGCGCGGGGGCCGTGGTGTCTGCCACACCGCTGTGCTTCCGGTCGGAGGACAAAAAGCTAAGGCGCGGCTCTTTCCATTGCGGTGGGCGTGGCGTGGCGACGCAACCCGCGTTGCTATTGGCGGCGTTTGGGGGGCGCGGAAACCGAATCCGCACAACTGCCGGGGCTGCTACCTCGGGCTCCTCTGGGCCCTCTGGCGCTGTCATTCCCGCCATGGCGGCGCCCTCTCTGGTAGGTCCCCCCGGTGGGTACCCTTTGGGTCGGTCTGTCTGTCTGCAGCAGTGACTGCGAGTGGGGCGGGCGGGTTGGACGCGGGTTCCGGTCTGTGCAGCTGGTCTGGTCGGAGCGTTGACCGAGCGCCCCTGCGTACCAGGCCCGGTTCTGGGTTACCGGGGCGAACAAAACAAGTCCATGTTCTAGGGTTTGCATATTAGCGGGGCCGACTCAGGTGTGCCTCTCTGTGCTGTCTTCTCACCTGGAGCCGTGGGTGGCGGGCGCGGGTCTTGTTACTCTGCACTCTTTTTTTTCTTGGTGGTACTGGAGTTTGAACTCACGCTTGCTAGGCAGACGCTCAACTACTTGAGCCACTTCACCAGCCGTGTTTTTAATGTTGGGTTTTTTTGCGATAGGGTTTCGCGCGCTATTTACCCGGGTTGACTTTGAACTGTAATCCTTCTGATCACTCCCTCCTGAGTAGCTAGGATTACAGTTGAGAGCCACTGGTGCCCAGCTGCTCGGCACCCTTTTCTAGAGCAGTAGGCTTCTAGGAGGCCCACGACGGCCCAGGTGTGCGGTGGGACTTGGGTCCGCCTTCCCATCTGTGCTCCAGGCTTCTCCAGAGACCAGAGAGGAGAGGTTGCTGCCCGTGAGCCTGGTCTTCTCACCCTGACCTTTTTTAAAAAAAAAATTTTGGGCAGTTCTGGCTTTGAACTCAATGCCTATGCTTGCTAGGCAGGCATTCCACTACTTGAGCTACACCTCCAGCATTTGTTTTGCTTCAGTTATTTTTCAGGCAGGGTCTCTGATTTTTGCCCTAGCTTGTCTGGACTGTGATCCTCCTACCTACAGGATCTTGTGTAGCTGGGATCATGTACCACCACACCCGGCTTATTAGTTGAGATGGGGGTCTCACTAACTTTTTTTTTTTTTTTTGCCAGAACTGATCTGGAACCATGATCCTCCCTATCTCTTCCTGAGTAGCTGGATGACAGATGTAAGCCACGCTCAGCCTAGGACCCCAATATTTTGATTGCTAATTTGGTGTGCTCTCTTGCCCCCATCTCACCCTTTGCCTTTGTGGGGGATGAAGCCCACATGCAGGGATCAGCCTACGAAATTACAAAGGGAAGAGGGTGTTGGGAAGTTTCAAGGGTCCCACTGATCAGGGGTGGGCCTCAACTTGCTTCTCTAACATTGAGCCTAGAGCTGGACACTGTCCTATCCTTGTTTTTCCAAGAGGCTGAATGGGGCACTTGGTGCGCTGTTGGAGGCCCTCCCCCCGACCTGCCACTCCACCTGTTGTTGTTTTTTTTTTTTTCTTTTATTCATATGTGCATACAATGTTTGGGTCATTCTCCCCCTTTCCCCCCTCCACCTGTTGTTAAAAGGGGTACACCAGCAGGTGTGTTGCGGGGTGGAGCTGGGCAGAAGGCCATGGAGTCTGTTTTGGTTATAGCTCTTAGAGTGGCAGTGGATTTGCTGTGCTGCAGGGATGTCGTTTTCCAAGTTTTTGCTGGGCTCCGTGGAGTACCCAAAATGGATTTTTTCAGTTTCTTACATTTGAGGTGGAGAGAGATACTTGGATAGCAGGGGTATAAACCCCACAGTGCTGAGATACAAGCTGACTTGTGTCTCAAGTCAGCTGGAGAGGAGTGTTCTCTCTGTTGTCTTCCTAAGCACTGTGATGAATGTGCCTACTGTTTGATGTGTTGGATAGGGTACACATAGTGGTGATGCCACCTGGGGCCTGTCACTCATCAGTCCAAGGTGGGGTTAAGGTACAGGATCCAGTTCTTGAGATGAAAGGTATTGAAGGGCTAACATTTTTTTTTCTCTCTGGGCTTTTTAATCAAATAAATTTAGTAAGATATTCATGTACCATAAAATTCACCTTTCAACATGTATAGGTCAGTGGTGTTAGTACAGCCACAGTGTTGTGTAACCATCTTCACCAAAGGTTTTTTGTTTGTTGTCACTCAGTGGTATATAACACCTCTGGGTTTTCCATTTATTTGTTGGTGGACACTTGGGGTTATTCACTGTTTAGCTGTTATGAATAATGCTACTGTGAACATTTGTGTACAAGTTTTTGTATAAATGTTTTCAGTTATTTTGGGTATTTACTCATGACTGATGGGTCATTTGCTAATATGTATATGTATATATATATATATATATATATATTTTTTTTTTTTTTCTTTTTTGGCAGTATTGGGGTTAGAACTCAGGCTTCTTGCTTGCTAGGCAGGTGCTTTACCACTTGAGCCACACCCGTAGCTCATCTTTTGCTAACTCTGGAGGAACTGCCACTGTTTAACACAGTGGCTATTTTGTTGTTCTTTTAAAAAGATTTTTGGATGGGGGATGTCTTGAGTTTTCATGTAGGTTTTAGGATCAGCTTGTCAGTTTCTACAAAAATGGCCTCTAGGATTTTTGACTGTGATTCTGTTGAATCTGTAGATTGATTTGGGGAGTATTGCATCTTAACAATGTTGTCTTCCAGTCCTCGAGCATGTATATCTTCAGTTCTCTTTAATTTCTTTGAGTGATGTTTAGTAGTTTTACTGTACAAGTCTTGTGCTTCTGTTGTTAAAATATTCCTAAGTACTTTTTTTTCTTTTTTTTTTAAGGCTGTCTCATTGTGCAGCCCAGGCTGGCCTCAAACTCACAATCCTCTTGCCTCAGCTTCCTGAGTGTAAGATTACAGGCATGGATCACCATGTCCAACTTAAGTACTTTATTTTTTTATTTATAATAATTGGAGCTGCTTTCTTTCTTTTATTTATTTATTTATTTATTCAGTACCGGGCTTGAATTCAGGGCCTACACCTTAAGCCACTCCACTAGCCCTTTTTGTGTTAGGGAAAATACCTATTTCTCTGGGCTGGCGTTGAACCTCGATCCTCCTGATCTGGGCCTCCTGAATAGCTAGGATTACAGGTGTGAGCCACTGGCGCCTGGCATTACTTTTATTTTTGATTGTTCATTAGTAGTATACAGAAATATACTTTTTTTGTGTGTGTATTGATTTTGTATCGTGCTTCCTTGCTGAACTTGTTCTAGTAGTGTTTAGTGGCTTCCTTAGAATTTTCAACATACAAGATTACGCCTTGATTTTTGTGTGTGTGTGTGTGTGTGTAATAGGGTTTTGCTGTATAGCCCAGGCTGGCCTAGATCTAGGGAACCTCCTGCTTTAGCCTCCTAAGTGCTGGGATTACAGAAGTGTACCACCATGCCCATCAACCACTCGAGCATTTTTAACCTCTCTTGGCTATTGTAGGAAAAATGTTGGCCCCAGGAAAGCCCCTTCCTCACCGAGTCTTCTTCATTTGACCCTGCCTGTCCTGCAGGAGGACCCCTCACTGGAGAGGCATTTTAAGGGCCACCGAGATGCAGTTACATCCGTGGACTTCAGCCTTAACATGAAGCAGCTGGGTAAGAGAAGGCATCTTGTCTCAGTCTTCCATTCCACTGAGACCTTGTGTCTCAGGCACAAGGTCACGCTGTGAGAAGGCAGAGTTTCTATCTGGGAGGCATGGCATGGTGTGGGGGTTACAGAGCAAGGCCATGGGTGCTTTGTTTAGACCTGTACCTTGCCTCCACCTGCCAGCTTTCTGGGCACTGGGCTTTGTGTGCTCCATTTTGCATGTAAAGAGCGAGAGACTCAGAGAGGTTAGGGGCCTTCCCAAGGTCACATAGCCTTTGAGAGTAACACTAAGGTCTGAATTTTTTCTTGTACACCCCGGCCACCTGTAGGGTCTCTTCTGTGGCATTGCTGCTAAACAGCGACCCTTTTTCTTGAGTCTTAGATTCTGTTGCCCACAGTAATATGGCACGTTTTCTTGCTGTAGAGGCCTACTGGCGAGAGCCAGCACCCTTCCCACTGCCCTTTTGCTGTGGCTAGGACTCCCCTCCCTGAGGCTATTGGTCTTGTGGTTTCTGTAGACACAGAGAGAACTGAAGGCACTTTTGATCTATCTTGGCCCCTCCTTAGGCTTCTGATTGAGTTGGGCACTATTTTTTTTTTTTTTGTGGTATTGTGGCTTGAACTCAGGGCCTACACCTTGAGCCACGCCACCTGTCCATTTTTGTGATTTTTTTTTTTTTTTTTTGAGATAGGGTCTCACAAACTTTGTCCACTCTGGGTTCAAACCTCGATCCTCCTGATCTCTGCTTCCTGGTCGCTAGTGAGCTGGTGGCTCATGTCGGTAGCACGAGCCACCGACACCCAGCAAGTTGGGTCCTTTTTAATGGTACAAGGCCCTTTGGGTGGGGCCCTGGGGTGGCTGCCTGGTAATAGGAGTACTTGCTCTTATGCCCTGAGGGTGTCAGTGGGGAGACCCAGGACCTCACAGGAATGAGTCCTCCCCAGCGCCCTAGGTTGCAGCCTAGGGCTGGCCTATGAAGGTCCTCTGTTGGTCTGGTTCCCATGTCAGCCTGGTACTTGGAAAGCTGCAGACTGTAGGCTCTGCAGAGTCTCACCACTGGAGGTTGTCTGCCTCCAGCCTGACCTGTCTATGGATGCTGGGGAAGGTGGAGCCAGGCTTGTGGCTCTCCTGCTTCCCCAGTGTCCTAGCTGAGGCTCAAAGCCCACTAGAGCTGAGGTCATAGCTCACCTCTCTCCTCAGCCAGTGGTTCCATGGACTCATGCCTCATGGTCTGGCACATGAAGCCCCAGTCACGCGCCTACCGCTTCACGGGCCACAAGGATGCCGTCACCTGCGTGAACTTCTCCCCCTCTGGACACTTGCTTGCCTCAGGCTCCCGTGACAAGACTGTCCGCATCTGGGTACCCAACGTGTGAGTTAGAGACTTTGAGGGGCTTGACAGAGCTGTCCCCACCTGGGTCCCTGTCCTCTGGACTGGTCACAGTGGGGCATATATCCCACCTCCACAGAGACACCATCAGAGGCTGGGGCTTCATTTGGGGTGCTAGCCTCTGTTTGGGATAGGAATTCTGGGGTGGCTCCCGCCACCTTCAGAGGACTGCTAACTGGTGCTGCTTGCATATGGGCAGGTGCTGGTAGCAGTACTCTGCTCCTTTAGGGGAGGCTCTGGCCTTCGTTTTGGGGGTGTGGGGAGCTCAGCCTAGACTGACTTTGGGAAGGGTGTGTGAGGATGGGGAGAGCTTTGATGTACTTTGGGCCCTCTTGTCACTATTATGGTTTCCTGACTCTGGATGTTTGTCCTCATAGCAAAGGCGAATCAACTGTGTTTCGTGCACACACAGCCACAGTGAGGAGTGTCCACTTCTGCAGTGACGGCCAGTCCCTTGTGACAGCCTCTGATGACAAGACAGTCAAGGTGTGGTCAACTCATCGCCAGAGATTCCTCTTCTCCCTGAGCCAGCACATCAACTGGGTCCGCTGTGCCAAGTGAGCCTTGTCCTGTCTGGAGACACTGAAGCGGGCTGGGGCTGGGGTGGGCACAAAGGGGCTCTTAGGTGGCAACTGTGACCTTGGGGAAATGATTTAGTCACTCTTTAATCTTCCTGAGCCTTGGTTTTCTGTCTGTAAAACATCAGCAGTAATTGTTCCTATGTTGTATGTGTTGAGAAGCTTCACCAAGCTGGTGCCTGGGTATAAGTTAGTCCATTGCTAGCTGTGACCCTCTGGTGTCCGTATCTACTCAGCACCACCCGATTCATTTCTCAGCACCAACAGTATCAATAATAAGATGCTATCAATTGCTGTCTCTGGCAGCACATATTCTGAAATTGGAATGATTCAGAAAAAATTAGCATGGCCCCGTGAGTGAGGATGACACAAATTTGTGAAGCATTCCATATTTTTCTGTATACTTGCTCTTGTCCTATAAATCCTGTTTCTAAAAAGAAAAAATGCTATCTGTAGTCCCATTGTACGGTTTCTTCTTGTTCCTCATGACAGTTCTGCGAGCTAGGTAGAGTCATTTCCATTTGGCAGATGAGGAAACTGGCTTAGCACAGTGTCTTGACTCAGGGCATATGGTGGTGAGTGGCAGAGCTGGGGTCTGAACCAGAGTCTCTCTGGCGCTAGGCTTGCTTACTTTCCTCTGAACTGTTCTCCTCCTCAGAAGTTGACTGTACTTCAGAGCTGCCACATGGGACCTCGGGTTTCTGAAGGGACCCTGGCTTTGGTGTGTGAGGCAGTGTTGTGCACATGGGGAGCCAGGCATCCTGAAGGAATTTTCAAGGCCCAAGAATTGCTGACACAGATAAGACTAGTTTAGCTTATTCAATTCCTTTCAATAGAGTTTCTTCATGTCAGATCTCTTTGCTCCAGATGACGGGTTAGGGTGACCAGGGGACACTAGAATATCGTGGGAATAAGAGGTTTGGGCTCTTGAGCTGTCTTCTTCAGGGATGCCATGCAAGTTACTTTTCCCTTTGGCTGCCCCAGTCCTTTTTCCTGAGAGGCTTCTGATGGCTTTGAGAGGTCTCCTGGTCAGAATAGGAAGGGCCAGGCAGCAAAGTGGGTGTTACGTCCACAGTAGGCTTTGAGTGGTGGGTCACAGGACTTCTATCTTTTTTTGTTGGCCTGAAGGACCCGGGAGCAGGATAATTATACCAGTGAAGGGCTTTTGACTATCTTCATGCTAATAATGGCCACAAGTGGTGCTGGCTATGTGTGGCCACATGCCAGGTGCTTGCTGGGATGTGCATTGTGCTATTCAATGCTTACTGTGGGGTAGGTACTGCTCTTACCTGTCCCACAGAGAGGGGAGCCACTTCCCAGGGTCACTTGGGTCAGAGCAGGACATGTAACCTTCAGCAGTTCCTGGGTCAGGGAAAGGTAGCTGTGGAAAGTGGTGTGTGGTGCCCAGGCAGTTTGTTAATTGGTAGTGTGACTTGTTCCCCATCTGGCTCAGGTTCTCCCCTGATGGGCGGCTCATCGTGTCTGCCAGTGATGACAAGACTGTCAAGCTGTGGGACAAGACCAGCCGGGAGTGTGTCCACTCATACTGTGAGCATGGCAGGTGAGTCTTCATCTGCAGGTGCTCTAGCGCTGGGAACAGACCTGGGCGCAAGGAGGCCCAGTGGCCTTCATGGGCTGGAATTGTGGAGGGCAGCAGCCATGCCTCTGCTGCTCTTTAGCTGGTGCCTTTTGCATGAGCTCCGCATCTTTTCCTGTGTGGATGGAAAATTCACCCTCATCTTCATCCCACAAATAATAGGAATGCTTTATCCTGAAGCCATGTAATTCCTTGGCCTTTCTTTTTTCTCTTCACTTTGTAGTTGTTAGCATTGTGGTGTGCCGAACACAGCTCCCCAAACTGCATTTTTAAGTTTCTTAATGTTATCTGTGGAGATGGCTTTCTGAATGAAAGCTACTTCAGGTTCTTGTAGCAAATGGTGGTTACTCATACCATGCCACATTATTGAGAGAGGGAGGAGTCAGCATTTGGTTAGGTATTTAGTTTTTCTAGGTTCCAAAATAGACTGCAGCTTCTGCCCTCCTTAGTTAGGCTGGGATGTCCCTTCTTGTTAGATTGAGAATCACAGGCAAGGGCCTCTCCTGAGAGCCTGAGTATCATGTGTGGGCATATTAAGGGATCTTGGCCTCTCTCCTAGAGATAGCTAAGCCTGTATCTCTGCTGGACCTTCCCACCTGCACTTCAGCAGGCAGAACCTGTCTTGGAGCCAGCCCACAAGGGTATCGGCTCCAACTCTAGAACCCCCCAGAGCAGCCTGTCTGACTTGTGGGTTTGAAGTTAGCCTTCTCCATTTGTTCTTAAAAGTCAATGGTAAGTCCATGTTCATTCCCTGCTGGCCACTGTTTTCAAATACTTCTGACTTTCTCTTGGTCACTTAGTATAGAAATACAGCAGAAAGGAGATGTTCTGGATTGAGGAACAGCATGAACAGATGCATGGGAATGGGAAAGCAATTGACAGTTTTGGGTCAATCCCAAGCCAGGGTGGACCTCCTTTAGTGCGTGACAGCCCTTGTCTTTCCAGCTTTGTCACCTATGTGGACTTTCACCCTAGCGGTACATGCATTGCCGCTGCTGGCATGGACAACACAGTGAAGGTGTGGGACGTGCGGACTCACCGGCTGTTGCAGCATTACCAATGTGAGTGTTAAACACCTTCCTGGGACCAGGAGCAGCCATGTGGGACTGTGCTGGTGCCAGGTGTTTGGATCATTACTTCGGTGCTTACGTGGGCCTGAGGAGAACCTTGAGTGGGAAGGAGGCTTGGATCTGTTGGGATAACCGGAGATGAGTAGACTATGATGTGACTGTCCTTGCTTGGAGTGTTGGCTAGGGGGTGGAGCATGGTGCTACCTAACTTACCGCAAGCCCTTCGGTGCTCAGCTGTGAGAGGGCAGAGCCTCACTACAGCTGGGGAGTCTTCAGTGCACCTCTGCTAGGACTGTTCTTAAGAGCCACTTCACAGGGGCTGCCTGTGCCACTCCCTGCTCCCCATGCTGGAGGCTCCAGGGCCGAGGGATCTGGGCTTTCCATAGAGGTCAGTGTTGGTGCCACTTCTAGTCTTGCATTACCCTTCACAGATGGGGAGCCATTAGCCACATAGAGGGTTGACTCAGCTAGGGGTCAGGCTCAGAAGCTAGGCCCAGGCTATGCCTCCTGATTTAATTGTAGATTTTGGAAGGAATGGCAGTGGGGAGTTGACAGAGGTGTGAGTCTTGGGCTCCAGAGCTCTCCCCTGACATTTTATGAGTGCCTCCTCATTGCTTTGCAGATGTTTGAGAGGGGCATGTTATTGGAATAATTGTGTGAACAGTCCTCTCAAGAATGGGGAAGATCCTGGCCCAGAGCAGCACGTGTTCAGCATTGCTGGTTGTGTGGCGTTGTCACTTGGCTTCCTGGAGCTCCTGGGATGATGATAAGGCCTGTGTCACAGTGGTGTTGAGGGTTTATGAGTCAGCTTGTCAAGTACCGAGAGAATAGCTGGTACAAAGTGAGAGCAAGGTACAGTGTTAAGGATGACAGTGCTGCTCCTGCTGCCATCCTTCTTCCTGGTGTCCAGGACTCTGGTCTCCCAGTGAGGCCAGCCAGGTTGGTCAAACTCTGTAGTTCCCTCCACCACCACCAGGTGGCAGGGCCTAGCCATAAGAACCAAGTCTTCCTATACAAACTTATTCTTGCTCTCTCAGAGGCTTCTAAAACAGAACAGCAATGGGGGCTGCAATGGGGGCTGCCTTCCACTTGGAGTACACCTCCACTTGGAGAGGTGTGGTCCCTCCCCTTCTTCAGGCTTTCTATTTCAGTGTCTTTTTTTCTGCCCTGGTCAGGCCTGAGTTAAGGGCTAGGATTTGGGATTAGCCATGTCTGTACATTGACTAGTAAAGGTGGGCAGGTGCCAAGCAGGAGGGCTTGGACAGGTTGAGAGATGGGTCTGGAAGGTGATGAGGTAGTTCAGAGGCCAGGAGCCTTTCTGTAAAGGGAATGATGACAGGGCCTCCCTCATGAGGTGAGGATCTCATGGGAGAAGCCATGTTAGGATCACAATACAGGCTCAGTGTGTGGTTTGTGCCATGTGAGTCCTGACACTGGGAGGAGAGAATCTGTAGTTGACTTGGAGAGTCCAGGCCCATCTCTGATCGGGAGCCTTGACTTGGTGTTCTTGGAGTTCAGCAGCAGGTACCCATTGGGCAGAGCCTTGAATGCCATTTCTGGCCCAGGTTCCCAAAGACTGTGGTGACTGGCAGTACTGGGAATGGGCCTGTCATTCAAGGAGTAAAAGGATGAGAGACATTTGGGTGGTCAGTAGTGGTGAAGATTTCACTTGGGTGGGTTGCTGGTGTTCCCTGGTTTCTGTCCATGCCCAGTGTTGACTTGGGGGCTGACATTGGAGTGGGATGAGTCAGGTCTAAGGGAGGCTGACACTGAGGGGGTAGAGGGGGAGCTGGGCACTGGGATATGGGATGTGAGAAGGTCTATGACCACATTCTGGGTCCCTACAATGGGAGAAGAAGCCCACAAAGCAGCCAGGGCTTGAGCCCTATCTCCCAGCATGAGAGGACTAATGGAAGGTGGAACTAGCAGGAGGAGAAGGGGTCTCATAGAGAGGAGGTTGGTCAGGAGATGAAATAATACAGAGCGAGTGAGGAGGATGGTTGGTGCTGGGGAGGTGGCCCAGTATTCTTGGTGGTGGACAGGAGTGGAGTTGAGTGTTGGCAGACCCAGGTGAGCATAGGGCTGAGTCCTGAGTGGACTTAATGCAGGCAGCCAACTGGCTTTTCTGAGAGCTTCCAGTCTGCTTTTGCTATTGTCCTTGCCTGTTGGGATGGAACTCCTCAGTGAGTCTGCAGTGTCTTTTTTCTAGCTGCCCTGATACATACCAGAGCCTTGGAGGGATTTTGCACACCCCATTAATGCAGCGGGGTTTTCCTCAAGCTCTCTGCCTAAAGCTGTTGCACTTGATGGGGGTTCACAAGAGAGGAAACTCATCTCCTCACTTCAGGGCTCACCTTCAGGAGCTTAGTGAACTGACTGTATCTGAGCTCATTGGGTGGGTGGCGGGGGAATGCCCCTTTCCTCTCACTCTGTTCACTTATGGAGGGCCCTGCTCAGGTCTGCTTAAGTCTAGAGAGCTCCCAGAGTGGCTAAAACCCTACTACTTGAGAGACTACCACCCCACACAGGGGTAGTAGGATGTCTAGTTCCCTAAGAAGGGCCCTTGGCACTGCGGCAGGGAAAAGTTTTCATGGACACGGTGATGTCCAGTGACATTCTGGCACGTGAGACCGATGGATTTCTCTGAGAGAATTTGGTTAGTGATATTGTAGTGTACACCCAGCCTTTTCATGACCATGCTCTGTGGAGGGCACTTCTATCCTGGATTGGGTTGTTGGAGTCAAAGCTGTCTTGGGGTTTTGGGCTACAGCACATAACTGGCACCGTTAATCTAAGGCTGGATGACAGTCCTCCTGAGCAGGGAGTTTCTTGGCTCTGGCCTATTTCTGAGAGGAGTAGTTCTGATTTCCCAATTCAGTGAGGAGTTGATGGGCTGGTGGAGCCCTGGGAGTGCCAGTTCCCATGGAGGTGGGTTAGTTGGCTCCATATGCTCTGAGCCCACGTTAAGACTGTTCAAACATCTGAGCTACAGCCCTGTCCCAGGCTCAGAGTGTGTTTTATGGTTTTCAGTCACGTGTAGGTCCATGCTCCAGTGCTAGGCCTGGGTAGCCAGCAAGGCAGGGCCACACCGCACTTCACCAGTGGGGGAGTGTGAGACTTGCCCATGGTCATGCAAGTGGGAGGCCCTGAATCTGGGTCTCTAGCTCAGGACCTCTTTGGTTTTTTTTTCCTTTTCCTCTTCGTGGTACTGGAGATTGAACCCAGGGCCTCTCATGCTAGGCAAACACTCTACCACTTGAACCACACTCCCAGCCCTTTTGTTTGTATTTTGTTTTTGAGGTAAGGTCTTGATAACTTTGCCTAGGCTGGCCTGGAACTGAGATCCTCCTGCCTCTGTCTCCTGAGTAACTGGGATTACAGACATGAGCCACCACACCAGTCTTCTAGCTCAGGGCCTCAGGCATGAGGTCCATACCAGCTTCCAGCTCCGGGTCTCTGAGTCTGGCATTCTGCTCACCATTCCCACACTGGCTCCTTGCATCATGATGACTCTAGTGTTTTATTCTGAGACAGTTTGGCTAATATGATATCATAGTGTGTATCCATCCTCCCCATGGTCATGCTGTATGGGTTCCTGAGAGACAGTTTCCTTGGCTGGTCTTCAGTAGGCTCGGCCTGGCCTTTTCCAGAAGCTTGAGTTAGAAATCTGAGTTCTGAGTTTTCAAGCTCAAAGCTTGATGGAAAATGGATTGTTCCTGGGCAGTCACTGCTTAGGGCACTGTGAGCCCTCATGTGGGTCCCTAAGAGTGCCCCTGTACCCCTATTCTACTCAAGGTATAGTCACATAGGGTTTTTTGTGGTACTGGGATTTACACTCAGGGCCTCACACTTGCAGGGCAGGTGCTGTGCCACTTGAGCCAGTCTGCCAGCTGTTTGTTGTTTTTTTAATGCTATACTGTGGATTGAATGCTGGGCCTCACACATGCTAAGCATATGTTCTGTCACTGAACTAAAACCATAGACCCATCAAGGTGGGTTTTTAAGTGGTTGTACAGCTAGCAAGGTAGGCCTACACCTTTTACTTGGTGTTTTGAGACTGAAAGTATTGATCAGGAGCAGTGTGCTATCCCACCTGCTCTGGCCAACTCACCTGATTTTTTTTTTTTTTTTTAACCATCCGGAAGTGAGCATTTCATGGTGTTTGCAAACAAGAATATTTCAGGTATCCTTGTTGCTAGTATGACTGCACTTCAGGTATGAGTACAAAGTCTCTTGGAAACTTCAAGCCACCATGTCATTGGTAGTACCAGTAGCCATCATGAGAAGTCATGCTAGACACTTGGAAGTGAGCTGACCTCTTTGTGCCAGGATGTGGAGATGGAGCTCAGCCCTGGCACATTCTGCCCAAATAAAGGTCCCTCCTAACTTGGGTACCTGGGCTTTCTCTGGGCCCTTTGGCTGGTTTGGAACCTCTCAGGCTCAGGTTTACCAAAGGCCTCTACACTGTGCAGAGCAGTGTATGCAGAGTGGATCATGAGTACTCAGGTCTTCCTTAGGTTCCCTGTTGTCCACAAGCTGCTGCTGGTGACCTGAAGAAATTTACTGTTGGTGTATCTCTTAACACTGAATTGAAGCTTCCCCTTTGGGAGTAATAGCCAGGAGTTCGCCACTGCCCTCAAATGAAGTCAGCAATGTAGTCTAGAAGAGGGCCCACAGCTTTGGATTGTTCTTGGAGAGTCATTTCTCAGGATATCGTGACCAAAGGCTTACTCCCTTGTGGGGAGTTGAACCCTCATGTGGGAGTATCGGGCAGGGATGGTTCTTTAGATGAGGCCTTCCTAGATAGGTCCTTCTCCACCACCTCTACAGCTGCAGAGAGGTGTGAGAGTTGATGCTGGTGTGGCCAGTGACAAGTAGGACAGTAGGGAAAGGTAGGTTGGGTATTGTGTCTCAGACATCCCCAAAGCCTAACATGGTAGGCCGAGCCCTCTTCAGGAGTAACTGACTCCAGATACTGGATATTCCTGGCACTTATAGTGGAGTGGGGTTTCTGTTGTCGTTCCTCTGAGGGAGATTCTGTCCTGTGGGTGGGTCTGACCGTGTGGGAGGCCATAGTGTGGTATCCACACACTGACTCTGCTGCCCTGGTGGTGCTAGGGAAGCCCAGAGCTCCCTGAGCATGCCCTCCCCTACTCCACTTTCCTGCCACTGGCTGCTCCTCTGCCAGCTTTTAGTTTAGTGGGGCAGGTGTTGCTGTCATCCCAGTGACAGCTTTGAGGTCCCTGTATTCTACCTCTAGGAGTGGTCTGTAAGGACCCTCAGCTCCTCTCCAGGCTGCCTTTTGGAGTTGCTGGCATTAGAGTGTGTGCTCAGATATAAATATTGTGTTATGTAAAGCTTTGGCTGTCTCCCTTAGGTATGCTGGGAACATGTCTCCACACTCCCCAGCACATCAGTATATCAGCTGGGTTGACATCTGAGGGGCTTTGCTGAGGGCTGTTTCAGGTGGGTGTGTTTACTGGTCCAGCAGTTGTTTCTGCAGTGTCTCAGTGCCAGGATGAGGGCTTGCCTTTATGTTTCTGGCATCGTTGACTTGACAGGGTCATGGTTAGCTCAGCCCTACTGGTTTTCCTCGCCAGGTCTGTGGTAGTGGATACGAAGGCACTGGGGTTTTCGTCTTCAGCGATGCTAAGTAAGAGTCTGTGATGGGCAAATCCACATACTGGCTGTGGATCTGCTCCGTCCCTTTGTGAATTTAGAGTAGCTGAATCTTGAAGAGTGAGAACATCCTCTTCCATAGGACAGCAGCATTGTATTGGTATTTCAAGGGTTTAAGCTTTCCATTTGGTTTCCCTAAAGTAACAGAATGTAAAACATATTCAACACAATTTTAGGGTGCTCTCTTCTGCTCCAGCTTGACTCCTGGGTCATGAGATAGTGTGAAGGAATCACTCTCTTTCTCTGGCTTACACATCTGTTTCCTCCTCCTTGTGTTTTCCACTGCCTGCCCTTGGCTCTAGATGAGTCTTCTTCCACTCTTGATCGTGCCACCATCCTAGGAAATTCATCTGGGCCCCCACCCCCAACTCTTCTGAGCAATGACCATCCTGGCCCAGTCCTGTCAGATTTGTGCCGAGACACTGTTGACTCTGATTGCTGTGCTCTGTGGGCCTTCCAGGCAGTGCCTGACTAATGTCCTTCCTTCAGTGCACAGTGCAGCAGTGAATGCCCTCTCTTTCCACCCATCTGGAAACTACCTGATCACAGCCTCCAGTGACTCAACCCTGAAGATCCTGGACCTGATGGAGGGCCGGCTACTCTACACACTCCATGGGCATCAGGTGAGGGGCATTGGCCCTGATGCTGAGCACAGCTTTGATGGCAGTACAAGGCTGGGGTTCACCTGACAGGGGCTTCCCTTGGTGACCACTGTGGACCCCTTTTAGCCTGGGCAATGGAGTGAGATGCAGAAATGGGCTTACCACCTGTGTGACCTACAGGAAGATGATGAAGGTCTTTCCTATGGTATTGGCCAGTTCCTGGGGCTGGGGTTGAGCTGGGCCTGGTATGACAGAAGGAAGTCACATTGGGAGGGGTGTGGGCATGGTTGGCACACTCTCCCCAGGGGTCTAAACGGAATCTTTTCTCTAATGACTCAGGCATCCCTTGGTCTCCTTGTTGAGTAGAGCCCTGGAATACCATTAGAGTTCCTGGGGATCCTGGGGTGGCTGACATCCATACCTTTAGAGACAGAGACAGTGACACATGTTTTGCACAGACTGGGGCAAAGGAGGAAGATCTGCTTATTTGTTGTTTGGGAATTCCTGGAATTGAATCAAAGGAGCAGAGGCCTTCTGACTAGCAGGCTTGGCTTCAAAGCATCCAGAACTGGGGGCTCTGTGGGTGGGTGGGTGATGGCCAGTGTGTTGTCTCTCTGGGCTGGCTCTGGGTGGTAGGCCATATGTAGCTCTCTCCAGCAGCTGGCCCTGGTTCAGGCCTCTCACCTACACCCCACCCACCAGGGAAGTTGTGTCCTAAGTGTGTCCTGCTAAGATCAGTCACCACAATGTCTACTTTTGGGACATAGTCACTACATGGCAGATAGGGCAGGGGACATGGAACCCAAGATTTTAAGTTTATCCCTTCTCTACCTGTGAGCTGGAGGCACACAAGATGAAGAATAGGGCAGGTCCTCGGGGATGAGGGAGGCCCTTGGGAGTACTTATGTATCCTGGCCAGCAGCTAAGCATGGGTGTCTAGCCCAGGGCTCTCTGAATGGTTTGGGATCCTCCTGTCCTCTGAGTTAGGGTAAATGGGGGCCATTTAGCCATTACTGGCAGGGTGGCGGTGCTGGTGAGGGCATAGACTTTTCCTTGGCTTCCTTAGGTCCTGGAGTCTGCTTGCTATCCTCATCCTAGTGGTGGGGTAATCTCTTGTCTTCCTTGTCAGGGACATGCTGGGTATTCAGGAACAGGCCTGTTCTCCCTAGACCAGCATGCCCAAGTATAATGTTCAGGTTGGGCTGCGGTCTTTGCTGGTCCTGCTGGGTAGCTACCTCTGTTAATCCTTTAGCAAGTCGATAATTTAGATTTACACGTAAGCAGTTTTGTTCTTATAACCAGTAGGGCCTGTGAAAACTGTGTGAATGGTGCTATCTCTCCTCCCCATGAACAGAACAAAAAGCACTTCTCAGAAACAATGTGAAAACAGGTGCATATCAAGTGACTACCCAGGACTTTCGCTCTTTTTGCAAGGGTCTCTTTGTGCGTGTGTAAGTGTTTATTCGCTTTTGTGTGGGTCCTTTTATCAACTGACTGCCCTCTTAGTCTGAGGACACTTCAACGTGAATTCTGAAATGTCATTCCCAGTGTTCTGGTGCATTATCCAGCACATAAAGGCAAACCTGTTGACATTGTTCTCCCTGAGAAGTGAAACAGGGACCATGAGCATCTCCTTGTCTGCTTGTGCAGCTGCTTGTCTATGTTAAACCTGGACACATGGGGCTAGAATGAGGGACAGTTAGTTAAGGGCTTGGGATGTAGTGAACAGGAAGTGGCTGAAGGACTTAGTGGGCCATTTCGTCCTCAGAGTACCAAGCTCACAGTATCAGCGGGAGGGGGAAGAAAGAAACGAGCTGACCTCTGTTTTGTCATCTGTTCATCATCTGCCTCTGGCTCACTAGCCTGGGCATGAGGGCAATGAAATGAATGCCATGATCCCACCCCTGGGCCACATGGACCAGACAGTGGGGAAGTTGACAGAGCTGAAGGCAGGGCAAGATGAGTTAGGAGACCAGGAGACACAGGCAAGTCTTAGGAGGTTCTTGGAGTGTTGCGTGAAGGTGGGTAGGCCTTGCCTCTTTCTCCTACGTTGCAGCTCAGGTGGAGGTGCCAGTCAGGGTATGAGGCTCAAATATTTTCTCTCCCAACCTCCCAAACTGTCTGTTCAATATAAAAACTTAAGGTTGTTTGCCATAGGTTTCAGGAACTCATCTTTCTGGAATGCTTGTGATGCCTGACCCCACAGTAGGGTACTGCAGGCCTTGGGTACTGTTGGGCTTGGCTTGCTCAAGTTTCTGCAACTGATGCAGGAGGGCAGGGTTTGACCATTGCCCTGAGTCTTCCTCTTCCCTGTGCTGGCTTAATCCTTGCCTCTTTCTAAAGATGCTGATTCTCTGCCCACCCTCCTCTTCAAGATCCATGGTGACTTCCACAGCTGGCCCTGGTCAAAAGGTCCCACATGGGCAGACCTAGTCCAATTCCCTTCCCCCCTGTGCAGTGTAGGGTGGCTGACTTGAAGGGCTTTCTTTTGGGGTGCTTACTTGTGATGTGGAAGAAATGTCAAATTGAAGCATCCTGTGCCTGGGCTGAGGTAGGGGTGAGTTTGTGGGGCAGGGCTGCCTGAGAGAGCATTTATCCTGAGCAAAGCCCAGCTCACCCTCCTGGCTCTGCCCCTGGGTTTCGGGTGATTAATGGTCAGCTTGTGTTGGCTCCCAGGGGAGGATGTTACATTTGGGCACCCTTAATTTGGGATGTTGGTTAAAATAGAGAGCCCTCCAGCTGGACTGAATTCTTAGCACTTACGGAAACCTGTGGTCAGAAGTGAGGTCTGCTTTGTTGCATCCCAAGGAGAGAAATCCTTGGAGGCTGGCCTGTGCTTTCTGTCTGGAATTCATGAATTTGTGAGATGCTGTCAAGCAGGTTTGGCTCAGCTCCGGGAAGTTCTGAGCACCTCCCTCCAGCTGAGCCTCAGGGCTTGACTGGGGGCTGCATCATAAAGGGGCTGCAAACCAGTATGGCCCCGGCTGTGGCTGGACACTGCCAAAATTGTGTAGTCCTCAGAGATTCCCTGCTTGTGATGTCTATTCCCTGCTTTGTCATTTCAGGAAGGTGTGCAGCTGTGCTCTTTGCTGACCTGAGCTTTCACATCCTGTTCTGGGAGGTGGTGATATGGTGGGGGTTAGAGCACAGCTGCTGCGAGTTACTTCCTACTTTGTGTGGCTTAGTAACTCCAGGGCTTCTAAGTGGGCCCTGGCTGCCCAGGGATTCTGTCCTCTAGATAAGAAGGAAGGCAGACTTGAAAGCTTGTTTGAATACAGGTGGTGAAACAGGCCATCTGGACTTGTAGGGGTCTCACACTTCTTAGGGTGACAGAGCTAGGACAAGTACCTACATCTATGTAGTTTCTACCACACTCATTGGCCCCACGCACGGTTTTAAAGTTTGAATTGTGATTTTAGTCTTGTTTTTGGATCACTGGTCTGGGTAAGATGCCAGCAGGTCTCTGGCTGCTTGTATCCCAGTATCTCAGCCTTGTTGCTACAGGACCCTGTTCTGGGCTAGCAGGAGGGAACCCCATGATTTGATTTGAACTTGGAGGCAGTGCCCAGGTGTAGCCCTAAGAAACTATGTGAGGAAAGGCCACTGAGTTTTCAGGCCAGTGAGACAACAATTCCCTTGTGCTTCCTTTCCACACCTGTGAGAAGGGGACAGCACAGGCTGAGGTGAAGATAGAGAGGTGGGGAGACCTTGACAGGAAAGAGGGGTTCTGTGGGTACTAGGGAGGTGCTTCTCTGTCATTCTCTGGGGAGAGTATGGGGGAAGGTCCTCCATAGGAGAAAGAAGGGTCAAGGTTTCAGTACTGCTGGGTGACACTTTTCTTGTCTGGGTTGAGCCCAAAGTTGTCTTGATGTACCTTTTCATTATCTCCTAAGGCATGGGGGCACCAGGATGAAGGAACCTGGTAAGTGCCAGGCTAAGATCAATCTAGGTCTCCTGGACTGGATCTGTGTGCTGATGTGGAGGACAGCTCATCAGTGAGGCAGTTTGGTGGTTCTCTGGTACCTGATGGGCCACTTACCAGTGGCCCATTTGAAGGACCTTTTATTTAGACAGGCTAACTCTTGTGGGGCTAGAGGGTATTTAGGTTCACTTTGAACTGCTATAACAAAATGCCTACTAGGTACAGTGGCTTATACCTGTAGTCCCAGCTACATGGGTGGCAGAGATGGGGAAGATCGTGATTTGAGGCTAGCTTGAGTAAAAAGTTAGTGAGAACCCATCTCAACAAAACAAGCCTGGTATCACACACCTGTAAATCCCAGCTATGCAGAAGGTATAGGTAGGAGGATCATGGTCCGTGCTGGCTGGACAAAAAGCACAAGACACTGAAAAATAATTAAAAGCAAAAAGGACTGGAGCATGGCTCATGGTGGTTGAGGAGTGCCTGCTTAGTAAGCACAAGGTCCTGTGTTTAAACTCTAGTATCTCCAAAAAAAAAAAAAAAAGTCTGAGAAGCTATGGTGTGGTGTGGTGGTATACATCTGCAGTCCCAGCACTAGGGAGACTGAGGCAGAAGGATCATGAATTTGAGGTCAGTCTGGGCTATATAGTAAGACCCTGTCTTAAAACAATTGCAGCAACAATAAAAATACCTGAGACTGGGTAATCTATAAAGAGCAGAAGTTTATTTCTTATAGTTCTGCAGGCTGGGAGGTCCAAAATCAAGGTGCAGGAACCTTGTGAGGGCTGTTACTTGCGTCTAAGATAGCACCTTAATATTTTGTCTTCCGGGGGGGAGCGTGTGTCTGCCTCATGTGGCAGAAAGCTGCTGGGCAAAAAGAAACCAAACGCCCTCTTCCCAAACTCTTTTGTAAGGTCCTAATCCCGTTCATAATGGTGGAGCCCATATGACTCACCTCTTGAAGGCCAGACTTTTCACTTCGTTGCATTGGGAAGTAAATTGTTTTGGAGGGGACAAAAACATTTAAACCAGAGCAGGGAAAGACATTGGTTATAAGATTATTGTGGGCCTGAACAATTCTGGTGCTTCTTTTGCAGTC